TGTTTTAATTGGATTATCCATTTTTTGGATGTTGAGTTTTATAAGTTCTTTATATATTTTGGATCAGATATGTCATTTGCAAACATTTTCTCCCATTCTGTAGGTTGCCTTTTAGTTTTGTTGTTTCCTTTGCTGTGAAGAGCTTTTTTGTTTTGATGAAGTCCCAATAGTTTATTTTTGCTTTTGTTTCCCTTGTCTCAGGAGACATATCTAGAAAGAAGTTGGTATAGCTAAAGTCAAAGAGGTTACCACCTGTGTTCTCCTCTAGAATTTTGATGGTTTCCTCTCTCACATTTAGGTCTTTCATCCATTTTGAATTTATATTGTGGTATAAGAAAATGATTCAATTTCATTCTTTTGCATGCTGCTGTCCAGTTTTCCTGTTCCATTTGAAGAGTTTGTCTTTTTCCCATTGGATATTCTTTCCTGCTTTGTCAAAGATTAATTGACCATATAATTGTCAGCTTGTTTCTAGGTTTTCTATTCTGTTCCACTAACCTTGTGTCTATTTTTGTGCCAGTTCCATACTGTTATGATCACTACAGCTTTGTAATATAACTTTAAGTCAGAATTGTGATGCCTCCAGTTTTGCTTTTCTTTTTCAAGGTTGCTTTGGCTATTCAGGGTCTTTTGTGGTTCTATACACATTTTAAGACCATTGGAAAATTCTAGTTCTGTGAAAAATGCTGTTGGTATTTTCTATTTTAAATAACAATTTAGAGAGTAAAGATTTACCCATATGTTTGCTTATCCTGTTCTTTTTTCCTTCCTCATGTTCCAAGGTTCCTTCTTTTATTGTTTCGTTTCTATTTAGAGAACTTCCTTTAGCCATTCATTTAGGGTAGGTCTGGTAGAATCAAATTACCTTAGTTTTCCCACGTCTGATAATTTTTCAATTTCTCCTTAATTACTGAAGTATATGTTTTTTCTGGCTATAGGATTCTGGACAGTTCTCCCCCAATCCTGGCCACAAATACTCAAAATATATCGTGCTACTTCCTCTTGCCTTCATGGTTTCTAATGAGAAATACACTGTCTTTCAAATTGATTTTCTGCTCTAGGACTTATGTCCTGTGTCTTCAAGATTTTTCTTTGTCTTTCATTTTCAGAAGTTTAACTATGATGTATCTTGGTGTGGAACTGTTTGGGTTTATCCTGTTTGGAGTTCACTCGATTTCTTGAATCTATAGGTTTATGCCTTTTGTCAAAATTGGGAAGTTTGCAACTATCATTTCTTCAAGTGTTTCTTCAAGGCTGTTTTCTTTTTCTTCTTTTTTCTATCTTTCCAGGACTCTGATGACACATAAATGTTACCTATTTTGTTATAGACTCAGAGATCCCTGAAGTCCTGTTCTCTTTTTATATTATTGTGTGTGTGTGCCTGCAGTGTGTATGTGTTGTGTGTCTGTATACATGTGTGTGCATGCATATGCCTAATATCTCTGTGCTGTTTAAATTGGCTAAATTAAATTTTGTAATCTCTCCTTTTTCCAGGTCACTAATTCTTTCCTCTGTCCTCTCCATTCTGCCACTGAGCCCAGATACTGAGTTTTCAGTTGGTTATTGTAATTTTTCAGTTCTAATATTCCTAGTGGCTTTTTCTTATATCTTCTATTTCTTTGTTTAGATTTTCTATTTCTTTGATAAAATTTTGTACTTTTCAATTTGTCTCAAGAGTGCTTGTAATTGTTTATTTTACCATTCTTTTTATGATGGCTGTTTAAAAATCTTTGGTAATTCTAGTATCTCTGTCATCTCAGTGTTGGAATCTACTGGTCATCTTTTTTCATTTAGTTTAACCTGTTCCTGTTTCTTTATATGATGAGTGATTTTCAATCAAATCTTGGATATTTTAGATATTAAAGACTCTAGAAATTATTTACACTGTGTGTTTTAGTGGCTTACTATGACACCACTCCAGTAGGGGAATGGGAATGGAGAGCACTACCTCATTACTCCCTGGTGGGGTAGAGGTTCAGCTTCCACATTTGGCCTCTCTTCATTACTGCTTGGCAGGGCTGGGTACTCTAGCTCCTCACTGTCACCATGGAGGGAGGGAGACTCATTAATACAACATGAAACTGTTTATAAAGTAGTGAATTTCCAGTCTTGTGACATACTATGATTGGTTTTATCAATCTTTCAAGCTTTCAACAATTTCACAGAAGCACTGAAAAAGATACAATGAGTAGATAAGACAAAGGCCCCAATAAGAGTGGATGGGCTCTGGAACAGGTCACAGTTACAAAAGTAATATAGCATGACGGAACCAATGCTACAACGGTAATCTAAGGTCTTAAATTTTTAATCCTGATTTTGTTACTATCTAGCTTTGTAAACTGATAAACTTACACAACTTTCCTGGCCTTGGTTTTATAAAGAGGAAAGAGTTTTGCCAATTGGGCCATTATTTATTTTCCTGTTTTAATCCTCCATGATAAGCTACTTAAAATGAGAATTCAAGATTAGGATGGCATGTCAAAAGTTCTACATACATATCAAATCAATTTTATAAATATAGTCCTTATTATAATTAGAACAAATAAAACTTTGAGGTGAAATGATATAATAAAATTTTGAGGAAACATAGCCTCTTTGAGCTCATGAAAGTCATGCATGCTTATAGCTGAAGAAGTAACTTGGACCTCTTTTCAAAGGCCAGACTTCCATATACCTGCAGCAGCATCACTTGGTGAACTTGTTAAATACAGATTTCCTGAGATCAAGCCCCAATCAGTATGAACTTATTTTTTGAAGTAAAAACCAAAGAGCCCTCTTTATGAATATTATATACACTAATAGTTGTGAACCACTGCTTTAGGCTTCAAGAAATTATTTTCAACACTCAAGAAAAAAACAGCTAATATGCTATATCCAAAGAGAATAATGGGTCAAGGAATTTAAATTTTTGAAATCAATTACTAACAATTACGATTAGGGTAAAACAGAGTTTATACTTTTGAAATAATATAACTACGCAGGGACTCTGACAAGCTTATGTTTTAAATAATCCAATAAATTTGGATGGAGATCAAATAAAAACATGTGACACAAAAATATAACAAGGCTAATATTTATAATGAATTCTGAGTATTTCAAAGGACCCCAAGGCCATTTATTTCTATGTGTAGAGCAAGAAAGAAGGACAACTGAGTTTATTGCCTGGTATAAGTGGTAAAAGGTTATTATATCTTACACATAAAAGATATTCAACAAATATCAACTTTCATATTCTCAACCACATAGAGAAAAACATCTGCAAATGATCATGGTTAAGAAACACTTGGAATATTAAATATAATGCATTCACTAATAGGATAAATTTCAAAAACAACTAGAACTTTATATAAAATGTCTTATAGGGGCACCTGGGTGGCTCATTCAGTTAAGCGTCTGCCTTCGGCTTAAGGCATGATCCCAGCGTCCCAGGATTGAGCCCTGCATCCAGGCTTCCTGCTCAGTGGGGAATCTGCTTCTCCCTCTCCTTCTGCCCCTCCCCCGCTCCTGCTCTCTCACTCGCTCGCTCTCTCTCAAATAAATAAAATCTTTAAAAATAAATAAATAAATAAATAAATAAATAAATAAATAAATAAATGCCTTATTGTACATATAATATTGTCATACGGGTGAGCATATTTTTCTGATGAGATGTTCCATAATGTTCATCAAATCCTCAAAAAAGTACTGTGATATCAAGAGCTTAGCACATTAGTTTGTATTTTTAGAGCATTATAGCTTAAAAGATACATATAATAACTTGCTCTTTGTAAATTTTTCTATATGGTCCTTTTTTCTATAAGGAAAAATTCATTGAGCATCTATTGTTCACCTAATGTAGGAGTTACATGGACAAATCAAAAAGGTAATTTGCTTTCAAGAAGCTCACATACTGGGGCGCCTGGGTGGCTCAGTCAGTTAAGTGCCCAACTCTTGGTTTTGGCTCAGTTCATGATCTCAGGGTTGTGAGATCAACTCCGTACCAGGCTTTGACTCAGTGCAAAGTCTGCTTCTCTGTCTGCCCCTCCCCTGCTCATGCACTCTCTCTCTCAAAAATAAATAAATAAATCTTTATTTAAAAAAAAAAAAGAAGCTCACATACTGGAATGAGAGGAATAAATTATGTAAGAGTGATAATAATATTAATCTTTTGCTATTTTTAACAGCAGAAAAATAAGGAAAAAAAATGAATTAAGTTCTTTTTCCCATCTAAGCCAATAATGTCGTTGAGGTTAGATGCTCTTCCTTCATTAAAGCCATTAATGGCTGCAATGTGTGCTTGGAATTCATATCTTATGTTTTATAATAGGACGTCAGACTAGGTTATGATTAACATTAGCTTATGCTTACAATCAAGATGTAGGGTTTTCTGAAGATTCCAGATGATTAAAAGAACTATTACAGGACATAACTTTAGAATTCCCTAATTGATCTTACTTGCTGAGAACTTTAGATTACATTTGCAAGCTAACACACATGCATGCAGGCAACACTCATGCACATACAATTCTATTACCTTTCATTATATAAAGTTTTCTGAATAATGAAAATCAAGAACCAGCTTTTCAAAGTACTGGAGATTTTTTAAAGGAGCCATACAGATTTTATTTCCTGGAGTTTAAAATATTTATTTTTATCATATCCATCGCATTCTAGAAAAAAAGAAATACTCTGCTCACCATTACTCTTTGTATTATGTGATTACTAAGTCATATTTGAGATTAAAATTACAAATATATGATTATAAAAGAAATAAATGCATAACATAAGCAGGCATGACGTTCTAAGGAGAGAAATTTGCATGCAAGCTTTATGCCCATGAACATGAGAATTCAGTTAGGGATGAAATCCTGAAGCACATTCTCATGACAGGATGAATCTATTAGTGTAGTTAAGGATTTGCAGACCTTATTCCTTTCCAAATACTTTACTAATGCCGGAAACAAGACAATTCCTGGCTTGTAAAACAGAACAAACCACCCTAAAACATCTGGCATACTTACACACTTTTCGCTGTCAAATACATAGCACAAATGTTTATTTGACTCAGAATCTTTGCATATGAAAGTGAATATCCTCTTGTCAGTTTTGTCATCTGCACAAAATGATATTCTATGAAGCTGGCAATTGTGTTGGACTTCCTGTGAACACAAATGGAAATAGAGTTGAAGAGATTTTTGTCCATTTTCTGAAATACCAGCTTGTGTTAATAACATACAACTTAAGACTTTAAAAGTGAAACAATCATCTGTCAAACTTCGGTTTATAATTACATACACCCAAACTTAAACAAATACGTAATGGAGATGGATCTCCCGACTCAGATTAAACTATAGTAGTCATCTCAATAGGACTTAGAGAAACACAAGCAAAATACGAGAGGATCAGAGGTGTGGACTTTCTGAGTTGCAAGGGATCTTATGAGACAACTACTTTAAACCCTGAAATTTTACTTAGAAGAACATCGAGGCCCCGAGAATTAAGATACTTCCACAAGGTTACAGAATTAGCAGAACTCTTTTTTACCAGACCATTTTCATTTTATCTTACTTCTCCTCACTAGCATTACAGTTTGAAACATAAATTCATCTTCACATGATTTCCTATGAAACATACTACCATTTCAACCTTAGTTTTCATATACATGTCTTCATTTTGAAGGTCTACATGTCAAGCATCTAAATTACTTAATCAACCCTACTAATCAGAAAGATAAATACTGTAACTATATATATATATACACATACACAGTTATAATTTTATATTTTTCATATATGTACATATATATTGTGTATACATATGATACACACACACACACACTATATATATTCTATAACTACAGCATCTGTTACTACACCTTTCCAAGTTCAGGGTTCGATGTGTCAGTTTGATGAGATTTGATCTATCACTCAGATTTCACATTACTGCTCATCAGACTGAAAATTAATATATAAGATATACAGATAAATGTTAAGAGAATTTGTTTATAGTACTGTATTCTTTCCCTGCATACAAACCAAACGTAAATCATCAAAGGCAAACATGAAAATTAGAATGAGGAGGTATACTATATGACTCTAACATTTTTGTCATTACTAGATAGCTTGATCCACCCATTTCAACAGCAGGAAGGAACAATGCCAAAAAGAGGGGCTCAACTTACTGAGGCATCTGATGAGAACATCTTCCTTTTCTTGTGGTTAGTGCTAAGATGGACAATGGCCACATTTGTCTGAGACTATCCTTCTCCTATACTTTGATTGACCAGTCTTTCTCTTGCTGACATTTTTTTTTGTGTGTTAAAGTTAATACAGTCAATCAAACAATACCATTCAGCCACACTGAAGCTCCCAGATACTGACAGCAAGTATACACCAGTTTATTAACTGCATAATCATTTTAATTATATACAGAGGAAATGTCATTACTACATAATATAGAAAAATGATTCATTTTTTTCCATTTGTAGGAGAAACTACAAGTAACATGAAAACATACCACTTACATAGGCTGGTGGTAAAATGTACACAGGCCCTCGTTCACTCATCAACCAGTATGATTACAGAAAGTCTTTGGTGATGACAGTTGGGAATCATTTTAATTTTTGTTTAGATTAGCAGAGGCATCTTCCTACAAAAGAAGACTAGGAAGCTAAAACTCATAACTTCATTATTTTTTGTGAATGTTTTGTTGTTGTGATAAATCTTTCTGAATTTTAAATGTAGCCCTAATTTTTGATGAGACAGGATAGACTTGGGAACACAAGCACAGTGAAAAATAATTATACTTTAACACTGACCATATTTTATTGGAGTTGGAACAAAGAATAAGTAAATCCCCAATTCACTTATACCACCTCTTTCCACCACTGCATAATCTTATTTTGAAGGACAAGTGAGAAAAGAAGAAAGGGAAAAAGACACAGAAAGAAAGATATTGGAGCCAATTGAGATTGCTTTTCACTTCTGTTTTCGTCCATCCAAATGGCATAGAAAAATAGTCTATTTTCTATGAAGTCCATGTTAGATTAATGATGCATTTTTAAATCCTGCCTCATACACGTACATTTTACTATAAATAAATTTATTTTAGGAGCACAGTATTTTTTTCATTATGACTAAATAAAATAAACAAACCAAAATAAAATGAATGACAGATTTTGTTCTGATTCACTTAGATCTCCCCAAATAGTGGTTCCTAAATGCGTATCTGTGAACAGGCTGTATCAGAGTCACATGCAGTGGTGTTTTTGGTTTTGTTTTTTATGATATAGATGCTAAGTCTTGTTCGGCAGATTCTGAATCTGAAAGTCCTGAGGGGACTCCAGCAATCAGCATTCCCGGGAATCTCCTCGGGGTCCTGACGCTCAGCAGAGCTGGTAAAACCTTTCTTAGGTTATTTTTGTTAGTGGATTCAAAAAATGGTACATTCTATATATGCATGAAGAGTTCAGATACTCTATGTTCATATGTAATATATGGGTAAAGAGTCAGTTGCTCTCTATTCAAATGTAATATAATTGAATTAATAAGACATTTCAAAGATTTTAAAACTCTAAGACTGCTTTTCGATTTGGTAGGGATGAAAAGAGATTTTTTTTTTTCCTATTGAAAGCTTGGAAAACTTATGTTTTTAGGGAAAAATTCAATTGGGTCTCTTGAAAATTAGCTATTAAGTCTAGGAAACTGAGACCTTGGGACAGGGAGGAAAAGCTTTTGTGTTACTGATTTGGGTAAGACAAAGATGTAATGCTCAAAACTCAACTGGTTAATCATCTTGAGTTGAATCCCACCTCACTGAGGTTTTGTACATGGGATTTAGGATCGGGGAGGAAGTTACGTCTGGTAGTCAAAGTTTAGAGAACAGAGTGATATGGTTGACAGCTGTCAACGGGCAGCCTACTATTATGGAAGACTTATTATGGAGGACTTCAGAATCACCAACTGATAACACTGAGCTGTATTTGCAGTCCCATGATCCAGCTCTCTGTCTCTTTTTTATACACACACATATACACATACACACAGCACATATTAGTGTTGGTCAATTCTAAACACTAAAGAAGTTCTCTCTATCCTCTGCATTTAGTCGTATTTTAGCGCGGGTTGCCAACAGCTGCCTTCTCACTGTGTCCTCACATGGCCTCTCCTCTGTGCTTGCACATCCCTGATGTCTTTCTTTCTTTATCAGAACACCAGTTTTGGTAGAGGAAGGCCTCATTAAGACCACATGGACCATAATTACCTCCAAGTACGGTCCCATTGGGGCTTAGAGAATTTTGGGTAAAAACAGTGAAGTCCATAACAAATCCATATTAATGAATGTGAAGCCAGAATGGGTTATATTTAAAATTTTTTCATTGGATTTGTAGGGGAAAGGGCTCTTAAATACAAGAACTTGAAGTTCACAATGCATTATGGGCTGAATTATGCTGCCCCAGAATGCATAATGCTGAAGCCTTACCACCCCTCCCACACCTCAGAATGGGACTGTATTTGAAGATAAGGTTTGAAAGTGCTGATGACATTAAAGTGAGCCCATTAGGATGGTCCCTTATCCAATCTTCTACCAACCAGTTCCAGTTGGTAACCAATCTTATTTATTGAAATAGGAACATAACCTCAATGAATGAAAGATTAGAGTGCTTCTGACATTCAAAAAGAAGACTTACCTTTGTTTTCGGTTCTAGAATTTTTACTCCATATATTGATATTTGCAGCTCAACTTTAGGAATTTTCTGGCCTTCGGATTTCTTGATATGTCTTGCGAACTACAAATGAAAAGTTATTCAGAAAACTATAATTCTGTTTCCATGGAAAATGAACACACACACACATATATAATTAGATGTGTGTGTGTATACATATATATAATATATATTTGGAGTTTGTATTCAGTGCTGGACTTCCATTAAATAAATTATTATCCATTACAAAGTGTTTTATAAACCCTGAATAGCTTCAAAATATTTAGTAGTCATAGCAATCTACCATTACTAGCATTAAATTCAGATATTCAATAACCTTTTAAAAAATTTTAATACTTCTTCCATTATATTTCAACAATTATAGTCATACTAACTATCAAGAAAATGCAAACTTTGTGGGTGGATCTTTTGTTTTTAATACCTTTAGAGAACTTACAGTTCCCCAGTGTTAGATATACCATCTTTGTCATTTCTAGATACTTACTTCATTTGGTAATGCCATCCTACCCAATCAAATCAATGAATGAACAGAGACAGATTACCATATTTAAATTGAAGTTAAGAACTGAAATAATTATCCCAGCTAAAAGACTAAGAACTAGACTCATTCTAGAATTACGAGTATCTTAAAAACCTGAACATTTTTCCACCGTTTTCATAGTAATATTTATTGTAACTTCTTATTGAATTGGTAAGTGTATGTAAATGCCTGTTAGGTTTTTTTATAAAATAAAAAAGAAAATCCCAACATTCGTGCACTTTGTAAATGGGAGTTTCTGCCTCTCTCCCCTCATTGCCAGATTTAGTGGTGGAAAAAATTACAGGAGCCCAGTTAAATTTGAATATTAAATGAAGACTTAAAACTTTTATTTTAGAATACACATCTACACTCTGTATATATGTGTACACACATATAATGCATACATGCTAGTTAGTGTAGTATGTCCCATGCAATATTTGGGACACATACTTACACTAAAATATTATTCATTGTTTATCTGAAGTTCAAAGTTGACCAAGCGTCCTGATTTTGGCAATGCTACTGTCAATGCTGCTCTGTCCCTACTTTACTTCTTTCTACCATCCTCCTACCTTTCTTTTTAAGAAATGGGGGAGGGGGGGGAAGGACTATGGAAAAAATAAGATATTTTACTCCTCTTCTAGGGCCTCAAAATATTATTTCCCTACTATTATAATGTTTTTTCAGCATATGGATCATCCTCACTTGACTCAAAATAGATTATATGTCAGGCAGGGTGGGGTTTCAGTCCTCTTTCGTATGTCATATTTATTGGCATTGTGCATTTCTCTCTAATTTAGGACAGATGTGAGTATACATGTTATAGTTCAGTCCTAAAGTACAGAGTGGTTAAAAACCCTTTTGTCTTTTCATGGCTTTGCACTGCTCTCAGAATAATATAATTAATGCATACACAAATGCCTTGAAGTGTCCGCCTTGCTATCCTGGGGTGGGGGAGTACAATTTATTTCATTTGGGGAGGTATAATTTTTTAGCTTGCTATCTGTCCTGTTCGATGAATGCAGGCAGCTCTCATTTTGCATCCAGAAGTCTTAGATTCTGCACATGAACTGGACGAATTTGTGCCAGATAATTTTTTATATGTCTTCAAGAAACATGTTTTGTTTCAGATCTTTAAAATTATTCCAACTGTCTCCCAAAGAAAGATTCAGTTTGTTTATTTTCCCTTCAGAATCTCCTTCCTGTATTGGCATAATTAAAACAATTTGGGGGTTTTCACATAAGAAGGCTTACAAAATAAATCAGCGGCTTCTATCTGTCTCTGTGAATGCATCTGAGCACAGCCACTCCCATCACGGGCTGCAGCAGCAGGCTAAGCTGGCCTCCTGGATGCTGCTCTCTTCCAGAAACAAGACACTGAGCAGTGGCTCTTGTTTTTCCACATCTGGCCACCACCATTCCTGCGACCTCTTCTAGTTTCCCAAAGTCTGTCACAGAACAACCACTAATACTAAACCTCATTGAGTAACTTCTTTCCTGCCACGAAAAAGAAAAGAAGAAATCATGTAAGAAATGAAAAAAAGGAAAAAGTGGGGGCTATAGATAGAGGAAGAAAACAAAACAAAACAAATAGGAGAGGAAGGAGGGAGGAAAATGAAAACAAAATAATGAGATAAAGAAAAAGGAACAAAATATCTGATGTAGGGGCTTTGAGATCTTTTTCTCTGCTTCTTATCAAGATGAAGTAATTGTGCTCAAAAAAGATTTATAGGTCATCCCATCCAATACCCTGGTCATAAAATGGGCTTGTAGCAGTCAGGCTGAGAATCTAGTTTTGCAGCTACCCACTAAATAACTCTTTTCTTTTGCACAACACATTTTCTACATTAAAAATAATAATAATAATAAACTTCCCAGTTTTACTTTCATGTATATCAAGGCTTATAATGGCTATTGGCTTTGATTGTTGCACAGTGGTTGTAAACAATGATGCCTAAGGTTTTATTTGCTCAATCTGTATTTTAAACAGAATATTCTCACTCCTGTCCATTTTTTTTCTGAAATCAAAGTTACTGCATTATAGTTTGCATGTCCCCTCCAACTCAGTGTGTTTTGCTAACTCAAAGTCTGATAGACCTCTTAACTGTGTTCCAAAATACTTCTAATTCACATGTTGAAGACTGCTTGTCATTCTTACTTACATTATATTCTTTTGTCTCCCTATTTACTACTTGAATGTTAATGCTTGAAGAGCCTTTTTTGCGAATTTCTTTCCATTTTTGCTTCAGTGGATTCATTTCTCGGGTCGTCTAGATAGTGATCTACCATCACAATTTGTATATGATAATCCAATAAAAATTATTCAAAGGGGGTAAAGCCTAAGCATCCTGGAGGATATCTGGATACAGCAAACAAACAGAAACAAGCCTTGATCACCATAAAAAGATGGGGAAAAATGAAGTATTACTAGAAATTCATAGTTAAGTATATGTCACTAGTGAGTAGAACAGCTAAAGAAAATTTCTTACAGAGAGCACTACTGGGTTTCAATAGCACAATCACACGATTTCTATTTATTTCTCAGAGGACTTTAAAAAGATGAAATCTAAGTACACTGCTGGGGGAATATACATTATTAGGAAAGAAAACCAATGAATTTATTACTGTGAGTCAAATATTCAGAGCTACTCTTCCTCTGTGGCTCTTACAAATTGTTAACTTAATTAAGCATATTCTTAGGAATCAGCTATGTATGTATGTATGCATATAATTAAATTAAGCTCTAAACACTTTATTAATTAAATAACTGGTTATGAACACAAAAACAGTGTTATGCTACACAGAGAGAGTGAGGTCGAATGGAAAAAGACTAAGATTAACAGAACTCAGCGGCAATTCCCAAGGCCTCCTTCGCTGAGGGAGCTTCACGTGATTTTAATTTAGCTGTACTGGGGTGAGGGATCTCTCCTCTAAAATTGGAATCCAGGAATGCTGCTCCCCTGCTTATCTCCCAGGGAAACTAAGAAGTTTTGGATCTATATATCAATATTCATCCACATGTAAACATCACAAGCAAACTGTTTATAAAATAGATTGTATCCTCTGACATTTGTACTAGTTGTATAAATAAAAATAAGTAAAACACTATTAAAAATGAAATTCATTACAATAACAATACTACTAAATATACAGAAGTTGAAAGGGTTTTTAAATTATTACATTTTGGAAAATCTGGTATTTTCTTAAATCTTGGGCTAAAACATGATTAAGAAATAGAAATGGATGAACATGATTGAGAAACAGAAAATATGTTGTTATGGCAAATACGAAATCTGAAAGTAAAAATTTTAACACTTATAAAAATTATTTTAAGAAAAATTTATAAACTATAAATTCTCTACAAAATGATAGAAAAGTTGTATGTAACAAAATCAAAACTTTAAAATTTTTCTCAAAAAATAATCAGGCATCATTAAACACAGAAACATGAAAAAATACAAAACTGAAAATATTCTAAGTATCCATCATCTTATATTAACCCTAAATTTTAAATTCTTGTCAGAAAACAGTACAAAAAATATTGCAAAGCTTTGAAAAATGAGTAAATATAAATAAAATATTAACTTATGTAGCAAGTAAAATCAATACAGAACTATAATGGATAAAAAGGCAGTCAGAATACATATGCTTAAGAAAAGTAAGCAGGAAATTAAAATGGGGGATGTGTACACAAAAGAGTTAATGAGGTTTGTTTTTTTTTTTTGGTAGAGCCATAGCACCACCTTCTGGCCATTTCTACATGACAACAGAATTAAAGAGGAGCCAGGGTCTACATTTCTAAAATAAATGCAAATATTTTGAAGGCTTGAATTTAGCCTCTGACCTCTGGCACCAAGGAAAAAAAAAATATATATATATATATATATAAATATATATATATAATTATAAAATAAATATATATATATATAATTATAAAATAAATATATATATATATAATTAGATAAAAAAACACTGTTTATTTTAATTTGTTTATAAATCATTACCCTTAAAAACACTTTCCTACCTACAAAATTTTTGCAATTAGCAGCATAAAGATTGCTTATTAGATAAACATTTATTCTGGAAAAAACTTGAAAAACAATTATCAAGTGAACATGCATTTTTAAACTATACTGCATACTTACTGTAAATCACATTCCTTTATTAACAGAGTACATTTCCAAATATAAAATGACATAGGAACTGCAAATAGAGTCTCTCCAAAATGTATGAGAACTAGCCACTGTTTAAAAGCATTTCATTTCAAATACCTCTACATTTTACCTGGTCATAATGTAATTTAATCCTTTTGGTTTGGGATCTGAGTTGACCCAATAAAGAACCTTCTAGACATAAAGACACATTAAGTATAAATACCATTATTCTTCTATAAATATAAAATACTGATTGTAGTGAAGCTGGACTCATGCTGAGTTTGCAATATTTTGAACATTTAAAGAGAATCTTAAATGTGGTTCATAAACTGTGAGGCCTTTTTAATCTTCTGTTAGTGCTTAAAAATACTGACCAAACAAGGGCAAGTGTGAATTATTACCTAATGAGCAGTGGAAAGAAATGATTGCCTACTCCACTTTTTTCCCAAATGGGAGAGATATCATCTTGAAAACTTTTAGCATATTTACTTGAAAGCATTGGTAAATTACTTACATGTAAAATGGGTAGATAAACATATTATCCATTTTACTTTCTTCCCCCAGAATACACGCCATCCCACTTCAACTGTTCTTCAATTTAAATACTCAGTAGATTCCACCTGATATGACATTCTCAAAGCAGAAAGATATTTTTTCATGTCTAGGACTTTGCCAGGCACAATCAAAGGCCTAACCCTCTTCTAAAATAACTGGATGATCTCTAAACTAAAGTTAGATAAAGGTTATTTCTGAAAAAAACTGTGAGAATAACTACAGAGAATAACAATGAATTGTGTAAAAAAAAAAAAAGCAGTGGTTTATTAGATTTTCTTAATGAGATAAAGATGAGAATTTTGTTGAAGGAATTTTTCACATCTTAATTAATATCTCAGTGAGAACAATGTCTTCTGGGATGGGGTGGACTTAGAAAAACATGCTAAGATATGTGGCATCTTACAGAAAATTTTCTCAGGAAACGTGATTATGAGTATGGAGTTGCTGATTTAATGTCTCTTCTGCTCTCTTGGTCTCACCAGTTCCCCATGTCGGCTCAGGGACAAAGCCACATACTCTGGGATTGGGGCATTAGGACATCTTTAACATACGGTGTCACTGCAAAATTCTGCTTGGAATCAATCCTAGTTCTACACTTTCCACTGGTGGATGTGATCTCCTTTTAGAGCTAGTTGGTACGCCATTCCTAGCTTCTGGGTCAGGGCATGAGTTCACATTGTCCAAGCAAAGTAAAGGCAAGCTACTGAATGTCAACACATAGGGAACACTGCCATTTTTTGTTGTTGTTGAGCATGAGAAATATTGGACAAATAGGAAGAATGTGCCACATTCAGAAAAATAATTGTGGATTCATATTTGTTTTTAAATACGTTTCCCTGATCTGGTGATATTTATTCATCTTTAACAGGACAAAGCTATTACCTGCCACAAAGCTATTCATGCTTTGAATATGCATCCATCTACTGATGACTTAAGACAGGATCGATACACTAGACATTGCTTTGGAGGGCTTTCCCTACCTTGAGTTTCCTGACAGCATCTCTCACAACTTCTGTTCCTTTAGGCTGCTCCACTTCCGTACTGCCAAGAAACTGAAAATGGCAATTTGTCAGATACAGCCTTCACCACATCGTACATCATCAAATCATTTTGAACTGTAACATGGCATAACAGTATACAAACTCAAAAATAGGGGTGCCCGGGTGGCTCAGTTGGTTAAGCGTCCGCCTTTGGCTTAGGTCATGATCCCAGGGTCCTGGGATGGAGTCCTGCGTCAGGCTCCGTGCTCGTGCTCAGTGGGGAGCCTGCTTCTCCCTCTCCAACTGCTCCTAACCCTCTCCCACCTTGTGATCACTCCCCCTCTCTCTCTCAAATAAATAAAATCTTTAAAACAACAACAACAGAATACACATGGTATGGTAGTAATGCAAACCCAAATCCTAATTAAGCAGAAGATTTATTAATTTATATTATTTTATATTATATGAGAATGTAAATATATTACTTAACCACATACAATTCCTATTATTCAAAGATTTTTTAAAAAAACTTTTTTCCTAAATATCGTTATTTATTTATTTATTTTTATTCATTTTTAAAGATTTTATTTACTCATCTGAGAGAGAGAGAGAGAGAGCACATGCATGAGTGGGTGGGAGGGGCAGAGGGAGAGGGAGAAGCAGGCTTATCCATTGAGCAGGGAGCCTGACAGGGGCTCTATCCCAAGATCCCGGGATCATGACCTGAGCCGAAGGCAGACGCTTAACCGACTGAGCCACTCAGGCACCCCCTAAATATTTTATTTGAAGATTTTTATGGGAAAGAAAACTAAAGCTACTTTCATTACGTTAGAAGAAAAGGAATAAAGTTGACTTAAAAATTTAAGATTTAAAATGTATTAATAATATATAAATTATTAATTTATCTGTAAATTCAAAGCATATAAGTGTTTTTATTTGTTACTTGATTTAAATGTCATGGTATATTTTAAGATATTAATATGATTTAATACAGTTCATAATTTCAAATAAGCATTTTCTTTGTTTTCCAATTATGACACTCTTATAAGTACATAACCTTTTAAAATACAAACTTTTTAAAAACTAATTACTCTATCTAAGAGCTATAAGCTAAACTACATTTAAAAATAAAACACGGATCTACGACTTTACTAAATTTTAAAATATCCCTGAAGGTTTTTAGCTAATACCTGACCTATCTACCCCACCCCCAAAAGAGAAAAAGTTTCGTAATAATTACCATGTTGTAATAGACCCTCTACCCTGGAGAGATATAAAACCTCCTAAACAGAAGACCAATCTCATGAAACATGTAAGACTAATTAGAATTTAAGTATGGATATTTTATTCTATAAAATATTTTCTATATAATAATAGCCAATAATCATTAAATGCAATTAGTGTATATGATTTCCCAGACTTTGTCCACATAGTACCAATTATAACACCAGAATGAGTTAAAAATTCATCACTCCTTATATAAATACACGTGTGTGTGTGTGTATGCACTTTATATGAAGTAAATAAGTAGAATTTTTTTATGTTAACTCACAGAATGGAAAGGAGCAAAATAGTAATGTCAGAGTATCTTCTTATATCACATTTTATTCCTTCCTTCATTCTTGGAAAAATAACAATAATAACGACTAAGGAAATCAGAGTTTTTGTTTTTTCAGAATGGGCTCTATTACCAGTGTGAGAATTACCCTGGGAACAGGTTAAAATATAACAACGCAGATGCCCTGGTCTAAAAAATCAGCACCTTCAAGGTAGGGTTAAGGGAATTATATTTCTAAAAGCATCACAGATGATTCCTTGTACGGCAGTCTAAGAAACAGAGTAAGAAAACAGTAACAAGTCAGGGGATAGCGGGGGCAGGTACAAAAAGTGACCTGAAAACACAGGTGCTAACTGCTGGTCCGCTTTCTTGTGAGCTCACGGAGGAGAGAGAGTGAGGCTCAGAAGCATTAGGGTAAAAAATGTTTCAGTTCTCAGATTCTGTAAGATACAACAGTTCCTTTTTCTTATGTACTCAAACTATCCCAAACAACCCTACGACGGCCTACAGACGGTATCATCGGGCACTTTGGTTTGCCCAGGCATGACCTCAAGTTGGTAACCAGGCCTTCAAAAAAGACCAAAATAAATGGAGAAATTCTCAGCTTAAAAGGAATTGAAACCCTGCTTCTAAGATGTGGGACACAGTCGGGAGCCTGGGTGGCTCAGTCGTTGAGCGTCTGCCTTCGGCTCAGGTCATGATCCCAGGGTCCTGGGATCGAGTCCCACATCGGGCTCCCTGCTCGGCGGGAAGCCTGCTTCTCCCTCTCCCACTCCCCCTGCTTGTGTTCCTGCTCTCGCTGTCTCTTTCTCTGTCAAATGGATAAATAAAATCTTTAAAAAAAAAAAAAAGATCGGGACACAGTCAAATCTATTCTTGACACCAATGGACCTGTCACATTGCTTCCGTTTCAGATCAGTGTATTCAACCTTGGCTGCGTGAAAAAAATCACACAGGGGCTTTCCACAGACCAGTGCCTACGAGTCTGATTTAATTGGTCTGGGGCAAAGCCAGGGCATCTGTGCATTTGAAAGCTCCCCAGGAGACTTTAATGTGTCACCAGGTTTGAAAAGCACTGTTTTAGATCCTCCAGAAGGGATAAAGGGTTCAAGGTGACAGGAGGAGAGTTAACACAATAGTAGCTATTTAGTTCTGAGTTAATCCATGGGGTAAACTCCTGTTCTCCTGCTCCCTGAATTTATCATATCACTGAGAGATTCTCATTAGTGAGTGGTCTAGAGTTCGCAGAAACAGGGAAACAAAAGTAAACTCTTTATTGGTAAGTGATTCTTGAACTAGAAGGAAGTGTGTGATGTGTCAGTAACAGACTGTAAGAGTTACTAGAAATATTTATAGAAGAATATTCATTTTTCAGCAGAAATGCCATGAGTCATAAGTATTATATGTAAATAGACCCACATGGGAAAATTGTGGAAGAACTCCAAGTACATTCTAAATGAATTAACCTCTTACAGTGCTCCAGGAACCTTTTAATATTTTTTTTTTAACAGTGGCTTTAATTAAATCATCTGAAGAATGAAACACAGAGAGAAGCCTTGAATGATGGTAGGAATTAAACTGTGCAGACATCTAATATGGAGCTTGCCACTTAACCCAATTATTCTATGTAGTGTTAGATAATCTAAATGGAAATCATTTTAAAAACGAAAAGTATATCATTCGTTATAATATTTCCTGTACTTTTTAAATTATAGAAGTCATCATGCTACTTACTCAGGTTAAATAAATCATATTTATATGCATTCCCTATGTCTATATAAGATATTTATAAAACCCTTAAATATGATGCAGCATGCTGGAATAAATTCTAGGCTTGGAATCTGAAGATGTTAGAAAAGTCACTTAATGTCTGATTTATTTGACTTTTGAAAAATCAGGATAGTGATATTGCTCCTTTCCTTATAAAATTTTTCTGAAGATCAGTTACAATGCGATTTAAAAAAAAAACACAACTCTGTAAACTATAAAGTGCTTTATAATTATGAGGGATTCCATTTCTTTATTTAATGACTATATGGGGAAGACACTAGAATTTAGTGGATACTGTTGGTACCTGCTCAGCTCTCCTTTGATAGATCCACATTATCAGCACTAGGAACCAACCTCTAGCTTCTGCACACTTTGCTGTTAAGAGCTCACAGTCCAGATCTTCGGAGGATTCCCTTTGAGCAATGAAGCCACTTTGCCAATACTGAGCTAGAAATGCCTGGGAGTTTTTTGCTCCCCCCGTCCCACATTACTACATTTTTTAGCTAATGAGTAGTATGAAGTACAAAGGCCCAGCTCCTCTGCTTGGACATAGGGTAAACTCTGTGATGTAATGATATCATGCTGAGCTTTCCTCAGAATCAGACTGAGGTTGGGGCTTCACTTGATGCTGTACTCGTCCTTGATTTCTTCCCCTTGTCTGCCCTGCTTTTCCACACTCTTACTTTGCTCCTGGGAGCTCTCGCTTAAAATTACTTGCACCCAAATCTTTGTCTTAGGATCTCATTCTGGGAGGAACTGACCTGTTAAGACACTATTAAACACTTAATGGCTTACATTTAGGAACATACAGTCCAGCATACAAACTCAAAAATAGGGGTGCCTGGGTGGCTCAGTTGGTTAAACGACTGCCTTCGGCTCAGGTTATGATCCTGGGGTCCTGGGATCGAGCCCCGCATCAGGCTCCCTGCTCTGCGGGAGGCCTGCTTCTCCCCCTGCTTGTGTTACCTCTCTCACTGTCCCTGTCTCTCTCTGTCAATTAAATAAATAAAATCTTAAACAAAAAAAAAAAACCTCAGAAATAATAAATGCTCTTGTTATAAGTGCTATGAAAAGGCTTGTCTGCAAATTAGAAAGAGGATTTCATCTTTTTCTACTCTGCCTGGTGCCTGAAGCATAAAAGAAAAAATGGAACTCAAAATCAAGGCATGGCCAAGAGATTAATCCATCCCATACCAACTGAGTTGTTAACTAGCTGGAGGAGTTGAGTTCCAGAATCACGGGGCCCCAAGCAGCTGCCATGGTTCAGAGGGAGGTGAAAGAGAATAATGCTGCCAATAGGAAGAAGGTAAGTGTTCCAGGAAATGCCAAAGGGAATCAGAAAATTTTGATCATTAATATTACTAATTAGGGTTGTCAGATTAGCAAATATAATTATAGATCCTGCTGTTGGTGGGAATATGGTACAGCAGCTCTAGACAATAGTTTGGTAGTTTCTTTTAGAATTAAACATGCACTTATCGTAGGATACAACATCTGCACTTTGGGGTACTTATCCCAAATAAATGAAAATTTATGTTCATGTAAATATTCTGTGCACTGATGTTCAAAGTAATCTGTTTGTAATAGCCAAACACTGGAAACAACCCAAATGTCCTTCAGTGAATTAACAGTTAAATTGTGATACATTTATACCAGGGAATACTACTCAGCAATAAAAACCAATGAATTATTGATACACACAACAACTTGCATAGATCTCAAGGGAATTAAGCTGAATGGAAAA